AAAAAACCACCCCTTTCCCCGCTCCTTCTCGTTTAGAATAAGGCCGGACGATAGATCGGGTGTGGCGGTGGCAACGACGGTGCTTCTTGAGTAGGCGTGCACTGCACTCAGCTCTCCCCTCCCCCGAACCTTCTCCTTTACCCCGCATGCTTCCAAGGAGAAGCCTTGGAGTTTTCGTGTAGCAGCCCCTTGCTTTGAATATCAGACCAAAAATTACAAGGCTTCCCCCTGTAAGCAGAGGGTTTCAAGGAAGAGTCTGGGACTTCAATGGTCGAACTTGAAATTATCAACCTGTCCTTGAAATTCATGAAATAACCTTGAAATCCGCGAAAAACGTTCTACTGTTTGTGGGCTAATTATTTTTTAATAAAGCAGGAGGGTGACCTAAAAAACTGCAATTGTATTTATTGGCTTTTCAGAAATTTTCCAGAGGACCCACAACGAGTCCGTTAGCATTATCGCCATTGCTAATGCCGGGAACAACACAGGCCGATTCAGGGATAGCCGCAATGTGGATATGGCGAGGACTATAAGGCGCCTGGAGCGCCAGCTGGAGGGTGGCCTCAACATACTCCAGTTTCTGGAACGCCTGTCCCACCTCATGGACAACCTCGCCCCTGCGATGGAGGCCGTTGCGGAGGCCGAGGAAAGGCTGATGCCTCAAGGTAAAGTCCAATAGTGCGATATTAAAAAAATACTAAATCAAGAATCAATCCTGAAAGCAGATGATACCAATTTAATACTATAGTATACCTGTGTTTTAACATTGCTAGTATGCGTTTTATTTCAATTACTATACCGCATTTCATCGGTTTGTAACGATGAATTGTTGTGGCGTATTTTCTATATCCGAAGTCATCCGGTGCGAGGCTAGCGCAGCATTGGGGGGAGAGAGGAGGGCGGGGAGGGAGGGGGAGCGAAGCCGCGGGAGCCAGTATTGTTTGGCAGGGTAAGGGGAGGGGCTTTCTGGCACGACACTCACCCTCGGACACGGTTCCGCCAGCGCCAAAGAACAAAGCAACTTTCCTCAGCTAACTCATAAGAATACACGACGCGTCGTTGTGTCGAATGGAACAACTGTACAAACTTTTACTACAAGTCAAACTAAGTTTGTAAATCTGTACTTTCAGCACCTCCTGGAGGATGGCCATACCCCCCGCGGCCAGACAACCCCCTCATGGGGGACGTCCCACCACCACCATCACCACCTCCAGGACGAGGCCCACCGCCACTAGCCCCTCCACTGCAACGGCCTCCAGCTCCAGTGCCTCGGCCTCCAGCGCCAGTGCCACAGCCTCCAGCGCCAGTGCCACGGCCTCGAGCTCCATTGGCACGGCCTCCACTGCCAGTGCCACGGCCTCCAGCTCCATTG